GTTTCCGCCCAAGCCGAAGAGGACTCCACATCCATCTCGTGGGGACTCTGGGTACACGGCAGGGTAATAGAAACCCTGTGTGAGGTCCAGAGGAGCGTGGCGGCCTGATCCACCGCCCACCTCTTCCCGTCTTCAAACGCGACTTTTATAAGACGTATTTTCGATTCCTATTTTGGTGGCTCATTCACCCAGAGCATCCGGAGCTCTGCACCATGGAGCCCAGCAACCTCCACGAGACCGTCTGTGTTGTCTGTCTGTAACCGCAACTTAAGCAAGTTTTCCAGCCTACACCACTGCCATCTCGGTGTAAGTAAACAATCTTTTAAACTACCGCTACGCGTCCGTGCCTAATTCCAGCTCGAAGGCCTTCCCTCTCCACCCCGGCGTGCCCGGGCTGCTGGCCACAGCCCGCATGCAGCGCAAAAAGGGCTTGGGTCGCTCCCGGCCCGCACAATTACCAGGCAGAAAACAGTTAGCTGGACATCTTTATGAAGATTTTGGAGAAATGCAAAGAAAAGTAAGTGGCCTTATTAAAGAAGCATCGTATATGTCCATTGTATCAGATGGTTGGAGAAATATTAAAAATGAAAGCATAAGTAACTTTATGGTGACAAGTCCTTGACCATTACTCTATAAATTCTTAAGCACTGCAAAACATCACCACACATCCAAATACATAGCATTACAGTTCAAAAATATTATTCAAGAGTAACAAAGACTTGGTGGGATAACTGCCAACTGAATGCTGTCATAGATGGTATAAACTATTCAGGAAGGACAGACAGGGGAGAAGAGGAGGAATTGTGCTTTATATAAAAGCACCGTATTATAGCTCAGAGATCCAGGATGAAACTGGAGATTGGCCTGTTGAAAGTCTCTGGGTTAGGGTCAGAGGGGAGAGCAACAGGATGGAGTGTCATTGTGGGTGTCTGCTACAGAGCACCAGCATGAGGTAGATGCGGCCTTCTTTAGACAGCTAGCAGAAGTTTCCCAATCACAAGACCTGGTTCTCATGGGGGACTTCAATCACCCTGACATGTGTTGGGAGGGCAATACAGCAGTACCCAGGCAATCCTGAAAGTTGTTGGAGGGTGTTGGGGACAACTTTCTGGTGCAAGTGCTAGAGAGACCAGTGAGGGGCCATGTTCTTTTTGACCTGCTGCTCACAAACAGGGAAGACTTGGTGGGGATTGTAGTAGTGGGTGACAAGTTGGGCAGCAGCAAACACGAGAAGCTTGAGTTCAGATCCTGAGGAAAGGAAGGAAGGAGAGAGGCAGAATAAGGACCCTGGATTTTAGAAAAGCAGACCGCCTAATTTAGGGAACTGATGGCCATGATCCCTTGCAAGGCTTGTCTGAGGGGGAAAGGAGAGCTGGTTGTATTGAGGGAGTTGTGGGAGAGGTGGAAAGCATCCTGGGATACTGGGGACAGCGAGTTAATTTGAATCTGGAAGGGATTTGAGACAGAAGTTCAATAAACTGATTTAGACTAAATCAGTTAAGATTGATACTACATCCATCCAGGTTTATCTTACACTGGTTTCAGCCATTTTGAAAACAGTTTATGTGCATTGAACTTCTGTTGTGTTACAGATTTTAACCAGTTTCTGATTACTTATACCAGTTTATGTGTAATTTCTGTCCCTAGCCTAGGAGGGTAGTAAAGCATTGGAACAGGTTACCCACAGAAGTTGTGGAATCTCCATCCCTGAAGGTTTTTAAGACCTGGCTCAACAAAGCCTTGGGCCTGGGCCTGCTTTCAGCAGAGGGTTGAACTAGATGACCTCCTTAGGTCCCTTCCACTACCAATTTTCTGATTCTATAACTCAGCCCTAAGAAAGTTTTTTCAGATGTAATGGACAATGCCAGAAATATACGGTCTGCATGGAGTACTGTGAAAGAGAAATATCCTCATATTCAGTTCTACAATTGTGCTGCTTGCACTTTGTTGTAGAATAAAGTGTGTCTAGCATCTGTCCACAAGACATTTCAATTGACATTTTTATGAGGATGTCTTCTGAGTATGCAATTCCAAATTTTTGTCAATGCTACAATCTGTTGCCCAAACTATACAGAAGTTGGAAGGTGACAAAGGTACCCTTGCCAGTGTCAAACATGAGTACACAAACATTCA